TGGTTGCAGCTCGTGGCCGTGTTTATATCGAAGGGTAATTAAACAACCCTAACGTCTGCTGCATCCGGTTATGTCGTAATTTATCTTTTAATGTCTTTAAATTACAGACCACCATTAAGGCGAACATTGCGTGAGGAGTACAACAAACGCTTGATCAATGAGAATTTCATGAATACAACACCAATGTTCTTTGTTTGAATGGAAAAGAAAATAGTAATCTCATTTATACGACTATACGATAATATTTTAATCATATGCATTATCCTATTTTTATTGTAAAGAAAAGTCATTGCTAACTGAGGACGAATGTCCTAATCTCGCCCTCGCTAAGCAAAGCGCATTTTTTACATTTCAAATGTTATGTTTTCAACTATATTCCACTGGATTGGCGAAAATATGCAACAGCAAAATTCATCGAGTTAAACTTATAAATTGTTTTGAATTGAAAAAATATCGCGAAATCCTTGGTAATAAATAAAACATACATTTGAAAACAGATTCTTAACCTCTATATCCAATAATCCACATAAACATATGTATTAAATATCTGTCATGTTATATCTAAAGCACCTGTAATAAATTTACCGAGTGCTGTATTTGTACGTTTTATTTGCTTCTATGGTCGCAATAGTTGGTCCTTATATATGTATCGTCACCTGAAATGCAAAGCTGTGACTAACAAATGTGTTTCTTAGATAAAACGATGTGGGGACTTGTATTCCATTAAGTGCATCACAGTAAAAAAATTTATTTTTCTTTTTGTTGTTAGTTACGGCTTTTTCCATTTCAAGTGACAATGTGTATTTACATAGCGTCGCCTGGGTAAAAGATTGTCGTATGTTAATTTCGGCAGGTTGTGGGAAATCGCGATTGAAGTTTGGAATGCAATTTCTCAAAAACCCGAAAATAGATCGAAGTGTCCAAAATTAAAATTTGAATTAAAACTTAAAATGACCAAATTAACGACACTTTTTACTCAATATCTCGGAAACTAAAGGAGATATCGAACAAGTAAGAAAGTCTAAGTTCGAACATTAAATACCCGGCGCAGGTATTAAATATGTTTTTTCACCTTTCCGAAACCTACCGCTGGTAAGCCGGGGTGTATCAATTTTGAGTAAATTAGTAAATTAAATTTCGAAATATTGCAGCATTTCTGAAATTTGCGAATTTTAGTGCGATTTCAATAATTTTCAACGTTTTGCTTTTATGTGGCAAGCACAATAAAAATACCGAGTTTGGTACAAATTGGTAGAACGGTTACCGAGATACATGTATGTGATCATAAGTGGGCGGTGCCACGCCCATTTTCCAAAATTTTACCATAAACGTACCAAGAATGATTTATCGAAGAGTTTGTATTTCTCCAAATTACCGTTATATGGCATGTGAGCGTGGTTATTGTCCGATTTTTTAAATTTTCGGCCATTAAGTATGCTGTACCAAGGCCAAAAACTGTGCCAAGTTTGCAAGAAATTGGTGCAGCGGTTACCAAGATATACACATGTAACCATAAGTGGGCGTGGCTACGCCCACTTTCCAAAAATTTATAATCTTATTTTTCGTCTGAAAATTATTGTAAATATCAATTTTGAGTGAATTATCCTCAGTAGTTCTAAAATATCGCAGTTTTCGTATTTCTGGAAATTACCGTTATATGGGAAGTGGGCGTGGTTATAGTCCTTTTCGCCCATTTTCAATACCAACCTACCTTGGACCTACCAAATTTCGTTGAGATATCTCAGTTTTTGCTCGAGTTATCGTGTACACGGACGGACGGACAGACAGACATGGCTTAATCGACTTCTCTATTCATTCTGAGCATTTATGTATACATTTGTCTATATCTATCTCGATTCGTTTTGGCTGTTACAAACAACCGTTATGTGAACAAAATTAATATACCCTTGTGCACAAGTGCGCTCGGGTATAAAAATGGAGAACGCCATTTTTAATATATGACTGCATCACCAACTAAATTTTTACTAAATGATCGAAAAAGTTGTCAATATCTCGGAAACTAAAGGAGATATCTAAAAACTGGTAATACCAATCAAAAGACCTTATTTCAAAATACATGCCTGCATCTAGAACCAAAAATCGTCAATATGGCGCTTACAACAATCTTTTACCCAGGCGACGATAGGTCGATTTGAAACCCGAGGCTATTCGGAAGGCGACACGGGTTAATTCAAATTCATAGTGCAAAGTATTCGAATCCGAACGTTTGGCTTTTTGGATCGCAATACAGAGTGTACCCACTGTATATACAGCCCAATTCTTAATAGTCCCGGGGAGTTTGTTCTCCGGGAACTTGTTTCTCCCGAGAAAGAAATCCTCCAATAATTAACTGCTAGGGAGTAACATTTTCCCGAAAATTTGTGAGGAAATTTTGATTTCAAAAAAGCCGTTTCGACACTTTTGACACCTCAACTCCGCCCTTTAATATAAAAAAATCGTCGAGAAAACTCCCAGGGAGTTTCTGTTCAGAATCGGCCTGATATTTTCACACCACGAAGCCTAGATTATGGCCCTACTATGTATGGCGACTGATAGGCGATACGCAACTATATGCTGAAATTCGCATCTATATACTAAAATTCGCATTACATATGGCAACTGGCTACTGACTCAGCGACTGGGTCTAGCTAGTAGCGGAATTTTGTCTTTCCCGTTTATGACGATTTTGTTCAGCCTCATTGCGTAAGTCGTAAATTAGGCTGAATTGTACGACTCGACAACTTCAGCATTGTCTACTGTCATGCTGAAATAAGTAGACGACGAAAATCGTCGAAAACTATGCAGTGCTGCCAAGTTTTTCCGTTTTAATACACTAGTCCATTGGAAATTTTAGACAATGACGCTAAATTTTCGATACGATTCGACTCTCGAAAAACGACTTGCATTCGGCACGACTCTCGCAATGAGGCTGATTATTTGTTAACATAAATTGTTGAACACATTGGAGCAAAGTTGCCTATTACTCATTTATTCTGCTCAGGTATGAGTCGAGCCTGCTGCAATAGCCACAGCGAAGTTGGGCTATTGTGGTGCCCAACTGGTAGCCATGGGCCATGGCTACTTGACCAGCAACTAGACACCAGTCGCTATACATAATAGGGCCATTAGTATCTTGAAATAATATTAGATCCTTGCGGACAATACAATTTACATATGTATAATGAAAGGTTAAGCGATTTGCATTTCCTCAAAACCACTAGACTCTCGGTTTCAAAAATTAAGCAAGGCAGTCTGATCTAAAGCACATTTGTATGAATTTTTATGAAAATATAAAATGTACAACTATATATATGTATTTGTATTTGAAAATATCGTCGAGGCTTTTGCAAAACCGCCCATCGATCAAAACCGCCTATCTTAAGCTGCCTTTACATGAGGCGATTTTTTGACAGGCGATAATCGGCTGCATAATTTGACTTGCCGTTTATTTTGCGGCAAATGATTTTTGAATCACCATTTACACTAGCGATTTTTCTGGAGCAATGTTGAATCACCTAGAAAATCTTCTCAGGTAAATCCAGCTTTACAGCACTCAAATTTTATGGAGCGAAAAAACAATTTTCTGTGAAGGCATTGCTTTGATAGGCGGTATCTTCTCTAGCTATTATTTTACAAAATCTGTTATTTTAATAACTATTTTACGATTTTTATGCATAAATCTCGATTCCTGGAGTTCAAATACAATTTTTGCCACAACGGCGATTTAGGTGGTTTTGAAAATGGTCGATGGGCGGTGTTGCAAAAGCATCGACGATATGTTAATTAGTATTTAAGCATTAAAATATTTGTATTTGTATATTTTTTACGATCTATGCATCTTGCACTTGTCCACTTCGTTGGGCATTTACTTCTTCAACTAACGTACGTGGGGGCGGACGAAATTTTCGGTGCACTTCATCATTAAGTCCTTCACGATTTCTTGCTATTTCAATAGCCAGAAACTGAATGCGCACAACCAAAAGTGAGTTTTCTGGAGTGAATTCTTTCGAAGCATCGGCACGAAGTAATGTTCCGTAAGCATAATCTTCCAATTTGTTGAATTTCTCTGCAAACAAGCGCCAGTGAATTTTTGCATCTTCAGACTTCAAAATATCATCGGTCAATAGTTCTATTTTGAGATCAGGAAAATCTTGCCGAAAAACTTCGTAAATTTGGTCATCATGTGGCGTTAGGTGCAGACATGAAGGATGAACACTTGTCAGAAGCTTTACCGGAAGAAAACATATTACGAATTAATGCAGCCCAACTTATCATTTAATTTATAGTTTTTTTTTTTTAATATTACTAACGTTAAAATACACTTCCGCATGATCCATCGCTTTTAATGCCCACATTTCTTCCACGAGCTCGTCATTACCAAACTCGTCTGCTGGACGCGACAGCAACGAAGCTCCTTGCTAATAAATATAGATCTATTTCAGTACCGAGTTTTATGCAGAATTTGGCAATTCATTATTTACCATCATTTCCATTGGTGGTCCCTTCTTCTTGAAAATGTGTCGTAAATAAAAAAGTACTCAGATGAGTTGTGAACATGTCTGGCTAGAGATGACTAGGGACACGAATTTCGATACGATATGATACCATATCGATATTTTTGACATTCCATACCGATACTTTTTACTCGAAAGTTTTCCAACGATATTTTTTGGAATCGAGTACCAGAACCCTTATATCGTATCGAATCGTAAATATACATTACAAAGTTAATGTGAAAATGATACATTTCGTTACCTTAATATAGAAAGGCCCTAACTCATATAATCGCTGAATTACAAAAAGTCGTAACTAAGTAAAAATTCAAAATTCCTTTTTGATTGATTATGATGAATTTCATCGAATTATAAGTCCCCACATCACTTTAAGCAATACAAAATTTTTGTCAGTTACGGCTTTTTTGAATTTCAGTGACTATATGAGTTAGGGCCTTTCTATATTAAGGTAACGATTTGTATGACAAGGTATTGGAAAATAAAATGAAAACGTCAAAACTCTGGGAATTGGGCAAGACTATTTGTATAAAACTTTTTGTATTAATATTTAAAAAATTTAAAGTTAATTTCCCAAATTCCAACATGTAAAAATTTGTCCTTATTAAAATTTCTATTGAAAGTTTTGTTGTTAATATTGTTTTCAAACATTCCATTTATTGCAAATCTATTTCGTACTATAACCTTACTTACTTTGGAATTTATATGTAAATCTTAGGTTGGTATGTGGCGCGCCTTCAGTGATGTACTTAATAAAGTGCAAAGTGTAAATTCTTTAATAAAAAATTTTACCACTATTCCGATTTAATTTTTTAGATTTTTGTATCGATATTTGGACTATCGAATCTTTTTATTACGATAATAATGTGTACCCGATATTTTTACAGCGATACTTTAAATTAGTACTATATCGCCACTTTCGGTTCGATATCGTGTCCCTAGAGATGACACAATAAGACAAGATATGACACGATAAAGGCCCGTCCACATACAACTTTGGCGTCGCGTTGGCGCTGGCGTCGCTTTGACAGCAGCGCGAGTTACGCCCGTACTTGCTACAATGAACGCGTAGCAGAGAATACTTT